CAGATCCCCTTGTAGGAAGATGTGCTGCAATGCACAGTAATGTGATAGTGTTATACTTCTTTTTGTGAGAGGAAGAGTCCTGTGTAGCATACCAATAGTGTGTAAAGATGCTGTACATGCATTACTCTTGTTGAGTGAGATTATCTGTAATGTTAATATTAATCAGTTAATGTTCAGTTCAGAATGAATGTAGATGTTTGAAAGAAGGTGGCTGAGACCCGTGCAGTCTCTTGGAAGGACATGCACATTGTATGTGGGGTAGCAGATTACCTGAAGACAGGCCTTAGGACCTGGGAGAATTCGTGGTGGTGTGAGGAAGACTGGGTCGGCACGTGCCCTGCTTGACAGAAGGGAGGCAACCTTGAAGCTGGAGAGGAGCAAAGGGAATTAAACTCAAATCCATAAATTTATAGATCTATAAATTTAACCTGATGTTTGGTCTGATTTTTGGATGGTCCTGCATGGAGCCAAGAGTTGGAGTGGATGATCCTTTTGGGTCCCTTCCAACTTGGGATATTCTGTGATTCTGTGAACTTAAGCTGGGTGCAGATGCAGCAGATTGGAGCAACGTGTGTGCTGTGTGTGGAAGGGCCCTGGCAGCTCACGCTGGTGGACTGGCTGCAAGCAGCAGGGAGGCTGCAGAGTTGATATTCTTGAAACCTAGGCTATGCCTTGTTTATGAGCTCGCCCAAATAGAAACCACATGAGAAGTCGCATGACTTTGCCATCAAAGCTCAGGAGGTGTGATATTCAGCCAATACACCTCCTGATTTCATTTTTCCATGTGATTGTTTCCTATTTTCTTCATGCTGTGGTATTCAGTTGGACTGACATATTTAAACATATAATAACTGGGATCTGTGCTTTTTAACCTCAAAGAAAAAAAAAAAGAAACTGCAGGACAGTTTAAGTAGATGTTTGTGAAATTGATGTTAGGTTGGTTCTGAAGGGGAAAAATAGTCTTAAAAGTAGGCAAAAAAGACTTAGGGGTCTTTGAGCAATGATTGCATCAAGTTACTCTTAGTTGGAGCTGATGCATCAGTTGGTGCTTAGGGCAGCATGCAGTCTTGAATTTTCGTTTTTCTTTTGTGTCTGCTGCATCTTTCCACACAGTTACTGTTCCCTGGGCTTCTTTCTTTTATGCTGTCGGTATTCTGTAGCTTAGCCTTCCCTTCCCTGTAATGATGTTTATATACAGTTTAGGTTTTCTTTGTGATTTCTGGAGAGCTCTGCTATCTTGAGTTTGAAGATACATGCAGATGGTACACTGCTAGTGGTTAGGGCAGTTAGCTGTGTTACATGACCATGACCATTTAGAAAATAAGGCTGGCTTATAGGTTTGTGAGGGAGTCTTTGGTCCTCAGAGGGTAACTGGTGCAGCTGCTGTGAGCCACTGGCTTAAAATACGTTGCTCTGGCATTCTAAAGCAGTGTCATAGACCCTCTTTAAACATGTCCATGCTCTAGCTAGGCCCAGACCCATGTGGTGCATTTCCCTGCTGTTCTACTTGTTTTTGTACAGTGTTTCCTGTTTTTACATGATGAAAAAAATGTCTACTGTATTTACCAGTGTAGCACACTGTTGACATAAAGACAGAGAGATTGCTTACCAGTTACCATCATTGTTGAGGCAGATTTGGATTAGGAAAAATAAACTGAATTAATTGCCAATTAAAATAGATTTGTATAGTGAGGGGAAAAAAAAAAAAGACAAAACAGACAAAATATCACATTCTTTTTCAAAGCTCAGCTTCACTCCTTTGCCTGCTCCTCCATCTCCTCCCCCAGCCCCAAATAGCACAGGGGGAGTGGATGTGGGGGCTGCAGTCAGTCCATAGCAACCCGTCTCTCCCACTCCTTCCCTCCTACATTTCTCCTCTGTTCCAGCGCAGGTCCCTCCCATGGGCTGCAGTGTAGAACTTCTGTTTATGTGCATGTTCATGTGTGCTTAGTTTGAGTTTTATAATTCAATTTCCTTGTGCAAGTACCCAATGTCGAACAGTGGGCAAGATAGCATATGAATCTGTCTAACAGCTGGAAGTTGTGCTATAGTCAGCAAAATAGCAACAATTTGAATATAGCAGCATTGCCCTTTTCTACCTGTTTTGAATTATAAATATGTTGGTGCATTAGACTTTCTGCCTGGTTTTGCTTCACTTTGGTATTTCAATATTTCTTGCAAATTAAGAATGGAAATATAGCCAGCGGTTCTCTCAACATCACTCAGCTCAATTTAAATTAAATATTTACCCTAGAAATGTTTTACATGTGAATATTTACATATAGTAAAACCAATCAAATCTGGAATTGGTTTGATTGCCTTAATCGTGGATTTTTCACCAAAAATGATACTGGGCACAATATTTGCTTTTCTGAATGAAAATTATATCAACCTAGTAGCATTGCAGCACTGAATAGATAACTGTAGAAAGTATCATTTTGTATACGGAACTGATAAATATAACCCTCCTGCCCACCAATAGTAAAAATTCTGTTTTCAGAATTAAGCATATTTTGTACAACGTTCACTATTACCTCTTCAGGAGGTGGAAATGAGAAGATCTAGCTGTTCTGTTTGGTGCGAGCTGACTGCTTGCTCTGAAGGAAGCTGTGGGCTGCCATGGGCCACCTCAGCGATGCTGAGTGTGGTGTGGATGTGTGGTGGTGCACCTTGGGTGGTGAGGATGATGTCTGCCTTCCTCTCAAGACACCTCCAAAAGAAGTGCTCTCTGTAATCAAGCATGTACATTTCTCCATGAGTTGCTTTTGTCCTTGCCTTCTGAAACAGAATAGATACATTTAGGTGTTGCCTCTTGAGTACCGTTCCTGCAGCTTGCTTCAACCTTTCTGCCTGCCTTCTCTGGTTGTCTCCTATGTTATCCATCCCAACAATAAAAGTCTTTGGAGCGTCATCATCTAGTGGGTGGCAGCCCTGCCCATGGTTTGTGATTTGGAACTAGATGATCATTTTGGTCCCTTCCAACCCAAGCCATTCTGTGATTCTTTGTTAGGGCTTCCCCCTCAGCTTCTCAGCTTCTGAGTCTTTGTACTGTTTCTTCTGTCAAGAAGGAAATTCATCGAATATCACCACTTTGAGAGCTGTTCTTTTGCAGCACTTTGTTTTTGAAATGTGCTATTTAATACCTACTCTTAAATGAGGACATTGTAAGTCTGCTATGTGATAATATATTATGAGTTAATGTACAAAGAAGGAATGTGTGTAAGGTGCACATCTGCATAAAACAGTTCTTTTTGGGGTTTGCTGTGTGTGTAACATCCGTTTAGAGAACTTGTAAATCATGGAACAAAGGGTTTGATTTCTGAAAGCATGTTGCAGAAAGGAATGTAAATGCTTTGTAGGTGAAACAAAAGACAAAATCAGTAACAACTGCGGTTTGGCAATAAAGTGATGAACTATTTTAGAAAATTAAAAACTAAACAAAATCAAGTGGAAAGTGTTTGTGTAGTGCCAAAACTGAGGCTATTACAACTCTGGTGCTTTTCCTGTTTGCTGAATGTTTCCTTATCAAGAAAGTACTTCTATAACAATAAGTATAACAATAAGTTTTCCAGCCGGCCCCTCACTTCCCCATGCTGAGTACTAAATAGTTAAAAGTTCTCCTGTAGGTATAAGAAGGAATTGTATTGGATTATCTACCATGCTGAAGGTGTTCCCATGTTACTATCTTCTCACTGTACTGCAGAAGTAGAATTTAAATTTTGTCTATGTTTTTAAGAAACTTGCTTTATTTTCAGATAAAAATTTTGAAAGGTAACTACTGTGTAATGCTGATAATCCAGACTATTCAGACTGAAAATTAAACTTTTCCATTTATCATTTTCCTTCTCTCTGTAGAAACGGATGCACAGAGGCACTCTCTGTGAGTTTAGGAAATAGATGTTAGCATACAGAGTACTGTGTTTGTGTGCACTGTGATGTTTTTAATTTTAATTAATGATGTTTTTTGAAAATGTCTAAGATCAGAAGAGAAGTAAGTTCAAATAGTACTTGACATCAGCAAGTGATAACGGAAGGTGGTCCTTTTCCCTATATTGGGGAGGGAAATCGTATATCTGTTTATTTGACATTTTCTTATCTGGCCTTCAAATGAGTAAGAAAGATTAAAAAGGAGGAAGACTTTATGCAACCAGAACTACTCAGTCAACTAATGACGTCCAACAGTCAGCTCTTTCACTCAGTATTTCCTCTGGAATAAAAGCTATTTAGTACGGACTGAAATTACCTCATCCATCATAGAAGCATAGAACTGTTCTGTTACTCTATGTGGGGGTTTATCAGTGCTGGGCTGGGGAAGGAGATGAAGAATAATATCCTCTTTAATTGAATTTGCAGAATGGAATGTGGGGAGGAAGAACGCCCTGGGCCCTGGGCCATCAACCTTGTATTAATGAAAAATGCTTTAATGACAGCAATGACCAGGTGCCAGGATATGAAGTATGCCTGTTTGGTGTTGTGCTTCTGTTTAACATTGAATTTTGAGCTACAGAGGCAACTTCACATGTGGACACCATGTGCACGTGGTCTTGCTTTGTGCTAACTTGGTTGCTCAGTGGGAGAAAGATGGTTCCACTGGAGTGCAATGGGGGATGAGAGCAAATATAATATAAGCATGTCTTCGTGGCAATTTCTTCATTAGACAAAAATAGTTTTTCCCATTGATGTCATTTTCAGCAGCAATTACTGTTTTCTGCCCTTTCCAGTAAAAGTAATGATGATGTGTAACATATCCAGAGGTGACCTGATACAGAATTTTAAGTTCAGAGTTTATAAAGAAAACTGTGACATCACTTTTCTGAAATGAAATCTGATAAAATCAAATACCTACAAGTTAGCAGTAAATTGCAGTTGGCAAGTTTTTGCAGTAGCAGTATTTTTTTTCTTGTCATTTATTCCAATTTGGAACATCACTGTGCCAGATGGGTTTTTTCCATGGAATATATAACATCAGTGTGATAGATTTTATTTTTCTTTTCCCACAGAATATGGTGGAATGGGCTTGGACTTCTCCTATAGCATTGCAGTGGCAGAGGAGCTGGGAAGTATCCGGTGTGGAGGTATCCCTATGGCTATTGGAGTGCAAGCTGGTATGGCCACTCCTGCGCTAACAAGGTAATTTTCAAAATGTTTAGTTTAGCTTAAAGCCCAAGCTGTTGTGTGTTTAAGCTTAAAAAACATCTGGCCACATGTTTTAGAGCAGGAGGAAACGTTACTGCCCAGATTATGTTGTAGTTGCTCATGAGTAAAGCTTGAGAAATGGACATGCTTTCTACCTGTCTCTCACACAGGTTAATTTAGGGGAGAGAATGCACATTTTAATATTAGAGTATTATATAATAAAGGTAGGCTTTGTTTAATAGTAAGTTATCTGTTTCCAAACACAGAACCTTGGTGCTAGAATCAATTAAACAGTCATGATTCCAGAATCCATGTTAATGCATTCTTTTCTTATCTAGATATCCCAGTGCAGTCATACTAAGGTCACATTTAGTAGTAATCATTAGAATGAGTCTAATTGTGTTTTAACATTTACTTGCTTTTTTCCAGTATTTCAAGGTGTTCCTTGCCAGCTCTGACTGTTCAGAAATAATGATCAGAATTGGTGTAAATCCTGCTAAAATTCTAGCACGCATTGTGCTGCCTGAACACTCCCATTCAAGTCAATTACTCATCATACTTTTTCTCATGTGCTCATGTTGGTTTTCATCTTTTATCATTTTATATCACTCAAGCTCCTACACTCTTTTTTTCCTTCCCTCAGTAAGCAGCAGTTGCCTACTTCTCCATCTTGACCTTCACAGACATTCTTGACCTTCACAGCCCCAAAACAACAGTCTGCAAAACTAGAGGGAGGTGACACACTGCTCCAGCAGTTTGCCCTTGGGATAGGAGTTCATCTAAAAGCTCTGGAAAGTGGTGGTGGAGATTAACTTCAAATAATGATTGTGAAGCCAAATTTTTTTCAGTACTAAATAGATATACAAGAGAGTACTTGCACAGAAAAGCTTTTCAGGATTGGTTGGTTTTGTTTGTCTGTTCATTCTATTAGAGAAAATATTTCTAAATCTAACTGGAATTTGGACTCTCTTCCCAGTCCGTCCGTCCATCCATCCATCCATCCATCCATCCTACTAGCTATGTGTGACTTTGGAGATCTTAACCATAGAATATCTTTCTAAAAATTTTGTTCTCCTTTGTGTAATGCACCAAAATCTTCCTGAAAGTGTGGAGGTCATTATGTCTGTTGCAACAGACTTATTTATAGTCCAGTGGAGGAAAAAAAATACAACACTAAGCCACTGATATTTTAAAAGACCTTGCCTCCTTGATAGCCTTTTATTCCTGAAGTTTTAGGAAAATCTCTTGGTAAAAGAAGATAGAAATTTCTTCCACTGCAGATTTTTTGGCTTTATGTTGCTCTGTTCTGGTGCAGCAATGAATCTAGATACATATGTGTTAGTGAAATCCTAAAGAGGATGTTCGCAGAAAGTGAATTTGAAATTTTTGAATTTGAATTTTTTAGCTAAGTATTGCTATAGATGATGCATCGATGATGCACAAAGTAAACTAATACAGAAATCAAACATCATACCCTGAAAAATAATTTAAAAGAAGACTGAAAGCCATTTGTTGACTTTCCTAAATTTGGGTTTCATTAAGCAGGTTTTGGAAAAGTTACTCATATCTGTTTGCCTGTTCATGTTCTTTCCACCTTTCACTTGTTTGTTTTTTTTTTCTGACAACCTTCAGAAGACTATATGCATGATCATACTTGGAAGCAACCCTGCAGATTTTGAATTGTGTGTACTTTTATTGTGCAGACAATTACAGGAGAAAATAGTTGTGCTTTACTGAAAGAAGCCTAGACTGACTGCTCTGTTATTTTCAGATTCCTCTAAGTGAAGCAGTAGTACTTCAAAATTTGAGAACAAAATACATAATGTTCTGTCAACAGTGACCCGGCCTGTGATGTGTCTGGTTCTGAACATAACTCTCTGTCAGATCTTTCAAATGCATTCTGGATAAAATGCCTCTTTTGCTTTCATGCTTACAAGCAGAGCAGAGGAAGCAGCTCTCAGCTGAGGCAGTGAATGAGATGCTGTTTCCCGGGTTTGTAAAAAAACCTATAGTATGACACATCAATAACCATATCAGCATAAAGCTCTTTTATCTCATCAACAGACACTAACCTTTATTGGAAGACAGTAAGGATAGTGAGGACTTTTCTGTGGGAAGAGTGCTTCTCTATTTCATTGACTTACGCATTGCAGATTCTCTCTCCGTGCTGAACAGTGGCTGAGAATTAGTGTCAAAAACACAAAGATGTTACTGTCTCTGTTCCTGTTTGCTGTAAGGGAAATAAGTTACAGCTGACAGTAAGAATAGTGGTACTGAAATGCTGTACTATCCACGTAATCAGCTGGGGAAGTGGTGAAAATGTGAAGAGGTGATCTGACAGCTGGGTGGCTTGCCCACAGGCTCAGCATAGGAGAAACTCAGTTTTGTGCTCCTTCAGCAATCCTTGTAGTCCACGTCATTTGGTACTAAATTTGTTAGCATGCTTGGCTTGTCCTGAGCCATCACAAAAACTGCTGCAGATTAAGTGAGGAGAAACAGAGAAGTTAGCTGAGAAGCCCAGTTTCTGAGGAAATCTAAAATATTTCTACCACCAGCGTTCATTGTCACATTTTTCCAGGTCTCCTTTGTGCCCTTCTGGGTGCAGGAGCTGTAAGCCAATTCCTCCCAAGCCTGGAGCTGGCACAGGCCAGAAGCAGTGTGCCCACACTGGGTGCAGCGGCCTGTGCTGCTAAGTCCTGTGGAAAGTTAGAGGTTGTCCACATCAGGATGCAGACGTGGTGGAAGAACTTCCACGACCAGAGTGATATAGGTACTCTGGGGCAGTGTAAAGCCAAGCAGCTGCTTCCTAACTATCTTCTCTGAAAGCAGTCACACTGCTGTCCCTCTCTCTGAGAGTGCTGTAGGTGACAGCTGGCCATTCTGCAGCCTGTCTGGAAGCAGCAGGACACCAGCGATGCTAAAAACTGCCTTCTCTGAAGAAGATAATCTTTAATTTGACTCCTCTTTCACAATGCCCACACTTCAGTGCAAAACTAAATAAATAGTTCAGTGCATTCCTAAATAAATAGAAGATTGACGTAATCATTCTTTATCAGAACCTGTGGAGTAGTTAGAAGGGGCTCCTGGGTTTCCCATCTGTTTTCTTTTCAGAATGTCTCTGCAGCTTGAGCTGAGCAATTTATTTCGTATAGTCTTCAAATAACTCAAGCTGAAAGGCTTGATAAAAACTGGGAGCCAGAGTATTTTTCTTTTTTTTTTTTTTTTCCTTATGCTGTTTTTTATGATAAGTAAATAAGTTTTCTAAATGTGGGTGTTTTTAAACTTGCATGTCTTTTTATCTCAACTGAATTAGGGACTGACAGAGAGAAAGCTGATTGCAGTATGGATTCTTTTAAAGGCTTTGAAAGCCAAATTGCTGATCCTAAGGAGGCTTTCCCACTGCCCGAGGGAGCTTGATGCTGTTCCCCATGCATTTCTTTCCCTGCCTCTAAGGAGAATTTATTGCCTTTCACGTACATTGAGGACCCAAGGAGTACTGCTGAGCTGGGACTAGACTTTGATGGTAGGATGTCTGTGCAGGATACACAGAAATCATGCAGAAGCATGGCATGTGGCAAATGTATTATTAGTAGTTCAGGTATGGGAACAGAACAGAGAGGGAACTGGAAGAAATTCACCTGTTGCTATTAAGTGATCATAGGTCAGAGTGACCTTATTTGGGTGAAGGAAATCCTCTTTCTATTCCTGGAAAATCCATGAGTGAATTCCTGTGTCATCTTTGACATAATATGGAATAATGCACAGATCACCTGAAAGCTTTTTTTGCTTTATTTTGCTTTGATGTTGAATAATTCTTTTGAAGTTGCTGCACCATTAATGTCTACCTTCAGCCCTGCTGAATATGTGAATGTGCATCAGGATCAATATTGTCTCTCACAACTGTTCTTGAAATGACTGTTTAGGAAACCTCTTATCTTTAGGGGTAGTATTATATTCCCTTTTGAGAGGTCCAGAGGCCCATGTGAGAATTTGGAGTAGGCTATATCTCTCGAATGTTTAAGCTCCAGTGCAAGAAAGCTTCAGTTGATCATATGCTGAGATCTGTGCTAGAGCTGCCTGCAGTTGTTCGTATTCAAAATTTCAGTTTGCACTTAATCATGAATCAAACAATGTCAGTTCTACTCAGAACCTCCTATGCTAATTTAATTAATTCACTTCAGCTTAACATTTTTCTCTCAGAAGCATAAGAAACAAAAGTGAATGAGATTTGCAGCTCTAACAAGGTGATTATCAGCCCAATTAAGTCAGAATAGTGATGTGCAGTAGACATATTTTCATTCAATATAGCAATCAAACCTGTCAGAAACAGTATTTTTTTATATATTTGAGATTAACATAACTGGCTGCCATTTTCTAATTTGCAGAGCACATAAACAAAACTGGGTGGATCAAGAATAAATTCTAACATCTGTATTTCATCATAATTCTTTCACCTTTTACCCACAATTTATGAGGTTATTTATCACTGTCATTTTTGTGTCTATATTCATGACATTCAACTAATGTTACTTACAAAGTGTGAACTATTTTCATGTACTTCTTAATGTGTTAGAATTTCACATGTGGAACTTCTGGATTACCCAACGTCAGCAAGGAGCTCTAGTTTATTGCCCATAGACTCTGTGTGTGCATCTGTAGGTACGCATCTGCATGAAAATGACTTTGAGATGGATGTTAATGCCTCATAGTTAATGATGTGGGACCCTATGCTTCAGGGTATGATCTTAGCCCAGAAAGCAGACGTAATCTGGTCTATCTTGAGTCAGAGCAAGTCTCGCTGCAGTTTTCTCATGCTGGAACTGTTAAAGTGGAAAGAATTGAACACTGCATTTGTGCAAACCTGATACCTTTCCAGGACGTATTTAAGGTGGGTAGAATTTAACAAAAGCAGTATACTTCTAACACAATAGCTGGCCATTTGCTGGGCTGCACGTCCTTCCTGCAGAGCATGATCTGAAGGTAGCATTAGCAGACTACTTTTTTAATTACAAACTAACTTCTTCTCCAGCCTCATTTTTGGGAAGAGCTGAACTGTTTTCTGGAACTTAAAACAAGCAAACAAAGCTGTCAAATCCAAAACATTTTCTTTCTGAGGAAAGTTCTTGCAATGGAAATTCTCTGTTCAAATAGCTAAATGTTGGCAAAGTTTTAAGCATCGGTAAGCGTTGCTGGAACTCCCTAATAGGCAGTGCTGCCAGCTTGTCTCATAATCTAAATTTTTATGTTGTTTTTGGTTTGGTTTGGTTTTTGTTTTGTTTAAAGAGTGCTCTCAGCTGGCCACACACAATCATGTTCTAAGGAAAAAACAACTACGCTCCATAACAGACCAGGGAATTGAACATTGCAAGCTTACTTCTTGTATTTATTTGGGACTGCAGCTGTGATTGTTATGGGCCAGGACAGCACTAGGAGCTGAGCTCCTTGCCTGCACAAAGGGAGAGTGTCTGCCAGCTCCCACTCTGGTCTCTGGCTTCTTGTGGCCTCTGACTGCTTTGTGGCAGACTGAAAGCAGAGGGAAATGGTCAGCCTTGGAAGTATGGTGCCAGTATTGTAGAAAAGCCCAGCTAGCTGCAGCCTGCTTAGGCAGCTGGTGAGCCAAAGATCAGTTAAAAGACTGACCTGAGAAGCCTCTTAGCTAGGAGAGCACATTATCACTAATTGTAAATCTATTTCCTGCTGTTAGGGATTTCTGCTCACAGAGGAGTGGTCTCACAACCCAAGGACTTTTGTTTTGGGGACAGGAGAGGTTTAAGAACAAGAGTGTGAGCTAACCATTCAGGCTCCAAAGCCAAACTTGAAAGTTGGTTAAGAAAAAAATCAACCATGAAACCACATTTTGAATGGGTAAAAGCAGCTAAATTTAGGAAAAAAAAAAATCTCTTTCCGGGACAGAGTTGCTGTTTCTTGGAGCCTTAATAAAAAAGGCACAACTGTTGCACAAGAGCTCTCAAGCTCCTTTGCTGACATCCCACAGGGGAGAAGGGACATCTCTGGGGAGAGCTGGCTGACCCTCAGCAGCCTTTCAGCTTTTTGGAGGGGAAAGGACAAAGGAGAGACAGGCATTGCTTCACTACTGGATGCAACACAACTGTCTTTCTCAGGCTGTTCATCCTTGTTCTTCCTCCCTGTCCAAGAGTGCTTCTTCATTTCTCCCAGGGACTGGGACTCGGCAGCTCCCTTCTGTCCCCGGGTGTGCCTTTGGTTCTTCTACCATCTTGTTGTAGAAGTAGCAGCCCTGCTCTACTAAGGCTTGTGGCATCACAAAAAAGGTTTGGTCCTCCTCGTGTGGATGTACAGAGCAGGCAGCTGGTAGCCCAGAGCACTGAGTTTAGGTGTTTTAGAAAGGGTGTTCATTAGTGAGATTAGATTCCCAGGAAGCTAAGATTAGGTTCCTGAGGGGAAAGGTTGTATCACATGCACCTATTGTTTCTTTTTTATCAGCTGGCAGATTTGGCTGCTATTTTGGTCACTGTTTTGACAAGAAGCATAACTTTTTAGTCACTACTAAAGCCTAGCAAAGAGCTGGTACAGAAGTCAGAAGGTATGCAAAGAGAGTGTCCTCTGTCCTGCTTCCAGCTCAGGAGCCAAAATTTCTTTATGTTTGATAGCTCTCAAAGCAGCAATCATAAAGATAAAATTTTGAGCATTAGAACCACACACTTCCTTAGAAGTAAGATGTTTGTATAAGCCTTGTTTAAAATGGTTGTGGCTGCACTTCCAATGAAGATTGATTCATAGCTTTGCACAAAGTCCCTTCCCTCTTTGGCTTCAGGATAGATTTTACCTAGTCACAGACAAATTGGTCACTGAGTAAAACAAAATGAGTGAGTAGCCTGTAAATAAAGTTTTCCTCCAAAAGCTTTTAATACCCTATCTTTCTATTATATTGTTGCAGATTTGGTTCTGATGAGTTGAAAAAACAGTTCCTCACACCAACTATATCTGGAGATCTTGTGGCATGTTTGGGAATCAGCGAAGCTGGAGCTGGATCAGATGTTGCAAGTAAGTTAACCTAACAAACTGCCAATTTCAGACAGCTTGATATTTTAGTGGAAGGAATCTGGCTTCACTGCCCCTACTGTCAGCATTTATAAGAAATACAAAAGAAAGTATGGAATGGTGAAAAAAGTAAAAAGTAATATTCTAGGAGCAGTAATACATAGTATCATAGAACTGTAAAATGGTTTGGGTTGGAAGGGACGTTTAAGATCTAGTTTCAACATCCCTGCAATAGGCAGGGACACCTCCCTCTAGACCAGGTTGCTCAAAGCCCCATCCAGCCTGGCCTTGAATGCTTCTAGGGAGGGGGCATCCTCAACCTCACTGGCAACCTGTTCCAGTGTCTCAGCACCCTCACAGTAAAGACTTTCTTCCTAATATCTAGTCTAAATCTACCTTTTTCCAGTTTAAAGCCATTTCCCATTGTTCTGTTGCTACATGCCTTATAAAAAGTCCCTCCTCAGCTTTCCTATGGTCCCCTTCAGGTACTGGGAGGCTGTTACAAGGTTCCCCTGAAGCCTTCTCTTCTCTAGGCTGATGAGTCCCAACTCTCAGTTTGTCCTCGTAGGAGGGGTGCTCCAGCCCTCTGATCATCTTTGTGGCCCTCCTCTGGACCCTCTCCAACAGCTCTATGTCCTTGTGTTGTGCACCCCTACAAATATCTGATTCATCCAAAAGCAAATACATTGAATGTGTTTATCAGTGAATAAATAGATGTAGGCTGAGCAGAACAGGTTAATAATATATAGCTGTCAGGCTGACCCCAGATTTCTCTAGTGTTTTTGTCCCTCTGCTGTCTGGCCTGTTGTGTCCAAGCTCCAGATTGGTGTACTCCAGTTGCACTGTCACCATTAGTTGTGCAAACCTACAGGAGTACGTGATACAGTGTGCCCTGTTCAAATGGACAAGGCTTGCATTTCCTTAATACAGACCTCCCCACTGAATGTGGACAGATTGCAGACCTAGTCCTTCTGAAACTGATGGCATCACACTTTTGCAATAAGTTCCTCTACCTCATTCTTATCTCACCCCCTCCAGTCATTTCTGTCTCTGTAGGAGTAATTATTTTATTTAGGGATAATGAAAAATTTGCCATATCAAATGTATGAGCTTTGTGATTTAGTTACTTTGCATGAAACTGTTTTTCTTGTTTCAGTACAAGAATATGTTTAAAAACATCAACAAGTCAACCTACCATTCTGAAGTGCCTGAGACAGTAGATAATTAAATTACAGCAGATTTTATAGTAGGAGATGTCTCACCTGATTGTGGAATGTGCGCTTCTAGGAAAAGAGAATGACAAGAAACCACTCTATACATCTTGCTATTTTGAATGGCTCGGCTGAATATACTGTGCTCTTACAAATTATGAAAATTACTATTTCTACAAAAATCAACAAATTTAATAGAAGCTTTTGGTCAGCAAAACCAATACCTATGTCTATCTCCTCATTCCAAATCACGTTGTTTTCTCAAGAAAAACAGATAATTAATTATTAAGTATTACAGCAAAGAGGTGCAGGAAGCACCTTTCCAAAGGGAGTTAAAGGGGTGTAGCAGAAATGCTAAGTCAGGGCTTGAAACAGTGATTGAACACCTGATGGGAAGGCAAAGCCAGGGGAGCTCAGGTGCATGCAGTGCTTCTGAGTGACCAGAAGAGGTGCAACCAGGATCCTCCCCTTCCCAGACCTCATTTAAGAGTTGGCAGTGGAGGCAAGGGTTGGAGATCCCTGTGTTTCTGAGGCCTTCTGAAGGTAAATAAATTCCTTCCTTTGTTTCTCTGTCCACGACTGTCGTATTTGAGCATATTCTTACTTGCTGCAACCTAGGACTTTGCTACTATGCTGTCATTACTGCACTTTCTATCGCGTTACAGCATTACGTGGGGGAAATTAAATGAAGGGGCTATGAATCTCCTTGCATGATCTAGAGCCATTTTCCTTTCTAGCTAATTAATATTGTTCATATGAAAAATAGGCTTGTTTTTCATAAAATTATCTGAAATGTATATTTCTCTCCTGTAGGAAACACATCACTTATTTTAGTTAATGCTTCTGTAGTTAAACTACCTGATTATCAAGACTTTCTAAATATGGTTGTAGTTTCTGGGTGTAGTCTTCCAGACAACAAATGGAAACAGGAGTTTCCATTTGCTATTCATTAGTCATGAGTAGCACTCATTTTTGGGCTCGTGACTTGTGTTAACTGTGCTGATCATCATCTTCACTCGTTTTCCACTGAAATATTGGAAGATAACAGCAGTAACTATTATTTGCACCTATTTGCTATGTTGACTTTGAAAATTCAGAATCATCTTTTTTTTTTTTTCTGGGTAACACCTGAGTTATCTGTTAGTGATGTCTCCCAGGTTTGTCTCACCAGCACATTCCACAGTATTCCTGCTCTTTTAAAGGTCATCACTGGAAACATGCAATCAGTTTCAATCAAAGACTGATGTCCAAAGAGAAGCTCCATTGTACCCTCTCTGCATGTCAGCACTTTATTAATGCAACCAATTTCACATTGTCAAGTTCCTTACCCTCATTTCCACTTTTGTCCTGATTTTTGACTTAAAAAAAAAAAATAAATAAATTTAACTGATGGTTGCCTAAGAACATATTTTGGTTTGCTTGGGCAGAGCAGCATCTGTTTCCATTTCTGATTTTTTTTTTTTTTTTTTCCTCTAGAAAACCCGTTTTCATAATAGTTGTGTCAGGTGGGCTTTAAATAAGGTATCACTGGTAAACTGAGTTTTCTTTCCAAATGTATTCTAAGTCTCTGCAGCTTTTTGAGACTAATAACCTTTTTGTTATCACTTATTTTCACTTTGTACAGTCCTACCTGTTGATGCCTTCCTTTGTCAGCTATGTTACAACTCTATTTTAATCTCATGTAAAATATTTTAGTTTTCAGGTATCTTCTGCATATTTTGTTATTTCTCATTCTCTTCTTATTTCTGTTGCTGAAACATTTTTGTTTGCTGCCTTAATGTTGTTTGGTTCTGTAATCTTTCATCTGTGAGATTTAAATCACTTTAACCTATGGCAATTCTTACCTTTTTACCTACAAACTGTAGCTTACTTTGACAATTAATCTCTTTATTTTCCTGCATGCTACCTCCTGTTTTTTGGTTTTTGTTTTTGGTTTTTTTTTTTTTTTGAAGCAATTGTTTATTTGGTTAAACTTGAAGTTATTTCATAGGTGTAGTTGTTTCTTTTTCCTGTACTGATGACAAAAATTCCACACGTGCTTTTAATTTATTACATAAATGATTATCTGTGATCATAAGATTAACCTTCAGAGTTGAAGACAACCTCGCCTTTTGTCAATTCTACTTAGATGCATGACTTGAGTCAAGAGCACACTGGAAAAGAAAACTTAAGTCTCTTGCTGTGATTTGAACAGTGAAATAAATTGCCCTGGTTATTTATTTGGCACAAGCTGCTTTGCATGTTTAAATGTACTGAGGCACATGGTTTAGTGGGAGCTATTGGTGGTAGGTGGACGATTGGATTGGATGATCTGGTAGGTCTTTCCCAACCTTGATGATTCTATGATTCTGCAGGCTGTTGAAATATCTACACCACAGGGTCATGTGGATGTGCCAAAAATTAGTGACTGAAGTAGCCTCTTCCCATACCCATGCTTTATTGGGGAAAATAATTATAGTGAAAAATGCCAAAGGATCTTACAGCCATATCTCTCAGATCCTCTTGACTCTAGTAAATTATTAAGCAGGTTTTCAAATTCTGCTGTAGTTTAAGTGTAAAATCTACTTATTGGCTTGATAATCTTTTAATGAAAATGCTGCATTCTTCATAATTGATTTTTAAACAGTCACTTTTCAAGTACTTGAAACAAACTGTTAGCAGTTACACTTGAGACTACTTGTATGTTCCTATTAGTCAGGCATTTCTTCTTTAATCTGTATTCGGAAAGTTAGTCTCTTGTGATGCCATGCTTGCTAATACTGTTTATATTTGTGATAGCATTATAGTGCTCAGTGTTCCCTCACAGACCTTCCAGGCGACTTCAATCTAATCTTCTTAGTAGTTGTTCCGTAACAAAGGGTTGTGTGATGTAAATCATTGTGTATTTTTCCCATCCTTTTTACGCTACTTGTACCATGTCTTATCACAGCTCTTTTGCATCCTTCACATGTTGTTCAGTCGCCTTGTATGATTGTCAAATGTCTGTTCACATACTACTGTGATCAGCATTCTAGATTTCTTCACTTTGTTGGCCTTCATTATTATTTAGATTCTACAAGATGTCCTTTGGACAGATTTGGCAGAGATTGCTGCTGTTTTTATGCACAGTAGTACTATCTCTTGCTGTTCAATGTTACGCTTCTGTAAGTTTATTTATCCACAGCTATATACACAAGTTCCTTATCTTGCATCATTACACAATTTTCAGCTGCTTTTTTTTTTTCCTATTTTTACATTAACAAATCTCTTCAGACGTGCAGACCATAGCTCCAGGTAGTCATCAGTTTAATCCTGTAAATGAAGATTAGGTTTCTGTTATCAGTTTTGAGTTTAGGACATTTGGGAAGAAGGTTTGTGTGCAGATTAGGGTGGGTGTGCATTGAAGTCACCAACTGACTTAAATGTGACTGCTCACTACACTTCTTGCCTGACTCTTACACTCCACACTTACTGCCTACCTCACTATATAGCCTCTTATGCACCTTATAGTCTCGTAATACAAGTGTTATTAAGAATGTGCTTGAGTTCTTTTTTTAACCATCAGCAACTTGCAGCTGGATATCCATTGCAGAGCCTCCTTTGGTTGAGGTTTCAGTGGAAGAAATTCAAGTTCAGGGAAGATAGCTCTTTGGGGCTTAACCAGTAACTAATGATTCACTCCTGCTGTTGCATTTAGGGCTGCTTGCAGTGATTTGAATGCTCATAAATGAAAACTATGTTTTTTCTATATCACGGGGTAGCAGGTGTTTAGAGCTCCTTGTTGTACAGACAATCTTAACATTTAAACTTCACCTTTTAAAGACTTACTGATTTTGAATTTATTACGCCATTCTGACTTAGAACGCACAGGAAGTGCGTGTGTGTATATATATCCTTAGGCATACACAGATACTGGAGCTTATGTTTGTTTAAGTTGGGACTCTGAAATTAATGGCCTTCTCAGTGACTAATGTACACAGTGACAGAAGTGTAATAGATCATCCTAGCCTAAAATATTTCTGGCCTGAGTTTTCAGTGACTGAATTTAGTTATGGAGAGAGCTTTCTGCTTTCATCCGCTGGGATGAAGATTCCAACTATCGGAGGGTGAGAGAAATGGTCTGCTTTCCCAGGGACATCTTCAAAGAGACTCATCCAGGTGGGCCTGCCTCTTGCAGCCTAGATGGCAGTGAAGTGAGGAGTGAAAATTGGTTGTCTGCGAGCGAGGGAATCACTTGGCCAGTCACACAGGAACCAGCTTATTCTTCCTTCATGAGAGTAACTCTTCATTTTCTTTGTTTTGAATAGGTATCAAGACAACAGCTGTGAGAAAAGGTGATGAATATGTCGTAAATGGTGGTAAGATGTGGACTACATCTGGGTGCCAAGCAGACTGGATGTGCCTGCTGGCGAATACAAGTGAAGGGCATCCCCATCAAAATAAATCTCTCATATGTCTGCCAATGAATCTACCTGGTAATGACACGCAACTCTTTACCTTCTGAGCTGATTTTATTGGTGCTCTTGTTTGTGCACATTACAAGAAGGAAAGGTGTTTCAGATAAGAGACAACACCCATTAATGCTCTTTTAAATTAAGTGTTTCATTGTCATACAAAGACAATTCTGAAATGCATTTGTACTCATACTTTCACAAAAAGAAAGAGGATGAGCAAATGAAAAGGAAATCAAATATTTTGCAGACTTCAGCTTGGGAGTCCCAAACCAAATTATGTGGAAAATTCTTTTTGACCGAAATAAATTTAGAAAAGCTTTTTAGATGCATTAGCAGGGGAGTATTTCATAACATTTTCTGAGAATGGATAGATTAAGTTACTGCCAAAGATAAAATTAATGCTTTGAAGAAATCATTAAAAATAGAGCCAATCTTTTTTTTTTTTTTGAGAATAACAACATCCACAGAACTTTTGTCTTAGTTTTCTGTTCAGAAAAGACATGTAGATTCAAACAGTCCTCAAAATAACATTCTCAATTTTCTATCCATTGGAATTTAATTTTGAGCAGTTATTACACCTTTTAAAGGTTTTGAATAATTTTTGTTCTTACACAAAACAAAACTTTCATTGAATTAATTAAATTCTCTCTTTTAAAAAGACCTGGTGATTTTTAGGAAGTTCAAATCTTTAAACTGGCATCGCAGGTATGATGATGGTGGCAAGAAAACATTGAAATGTATGGCATTTTTGTTCATTCAGTTTGCAGTATTTTATTGTGAAATAAATTGTCATTATCAGCTTTTAATGTGTAGAGAAAGCATAATGGCAGTGAAGCAAATGTCCGTATGTTTATTTCTGGGATCAGACTGAGAATAAAATCCCAGGTCTCCAGTGTGGTGAGAACATCTTAAGATAATTTCTTATAAGTGAATTTGAATACGGAATAAGTGAGAGTAAGCAAATTGCTTTAGGATTGGAGCTAGTGGGTTGTGACTTTCTAAACCACTGTAATAGTCACTTGTTGACTCTGGCCTTATCAATAAGTGATGAATGAATGTGGAACTCAGAGCTAGGATCACCTTGAATTTCCAGATGACCTTACTTATCAGCCATCTGCATAAAGTCCTCATGATTTTTCATGAAAAAGTCAGAGTGTGTATGTGATACTGCTTCTCTGAATTCCGTACCAACATACTGTTACAGGTGGATCAAATATTCAGAAATTGTCTTGGTTTTCAGGTACTTTCTTTATTCCAGAAAGACACGTGACTCATTGTAGCTTTATGTGGTTGTTTTTAGCCACGCAATCTATACACAGAGTTGCTTTACCTTGGGTAAACAGATTTTTGAGGAGAAAAATTGCATGTCAGCTGAAGGTGATGTTCAGCAATCTTCCTTGAAAGGATTCCTTCAGAAATCTTCCTCGAAATATACATTATGCTTCTCAAAGCTTATATGCTTTCCATCTTGTGTGACAGGGGTATGGACCTCCAGAAAGGTCACTGTACCAAGACTGGTGACCTTTAAAATGAAAAATGGAGACAGTTGATTGTGCTGCTCAGTGGGTGGGCTACATCAGAACTGAAATCTGGGTGGGATACAAAGAGGAAAAGTATGAACAAGGCTGCCAACTGACACAGATGTGAGGAGGAAGCTCCAGCTGCTTTGATACATCCTAAGGATGTGTGTGTGCCAAAGATCATTATCTTTAGAGGGCAGCAGACCAAGACTGTACAGGAAGTGTCTGGATGACATCGGAAAGATGCACTATCATGCATCTGTAGACATATGTATGACAACACTCGAGCGACCACAGTGGAGGACAAGCGTATTTTGTCTGACTAACTGCTGCAGTCACCAGGATGTGTGGCAGGGGAAAGACAGGGTTCAAGGCACAGTGGTAACCTGTTCCGTGCTAGTTGTTGGTAGGAGATAGGAGTCCTGTGCTTTTTATAAAAACATAACTATTTCATACATATTGTGATGTAAGGAAAAAAAAATCCAAAATGAATTATTAGCTTCAACAACTGGTAGTTACTGGAGAAACAAAATGTGATTAACTTTTAGTTGTAGGTTTGTGCAGTTTCTGTTCTGGGTTGCAGAAAATCATAGCCTAAGTTTGACAAACATTGCTGAAAACCTCATAAAGGGAATTTGGGTAACGGATTCACAGTAGATACTTGCATTAGGCAGGTAAATACTCCTCATACTAGCAAGTATGAACTCTTTATCATGTGATGGAAAAAAGCAAAGTATAAATTGTCCATGTTAGATATATAGACAAATGGCTAGCAGCCCTCATCTGGGATGTAGTTCTGCACTGGTTTCTCCTGTGGGTCATCAGATAGCACTTAGTAGATTGCACAGAGGATAATAAAGAAGAGAACATCCAGGAAAGGGGAAAAGAGAATGTTTCTCAAGTTGCAGTTTAAAATGTCTATTTTCATTTGTAACAGCACTAAATGTTGGCAGGAGAGAGTGACTACTTTCTATCAAGATAGACTAAAAGAAATAAAAAAATTGTCAGAAGGCTGGAGAATTGAGAGAAAATGAGAAATCAAAAACACTTGGGAAGAACTGTCCCAGGAAGAGAGAGAGCAATCCATCTCAGTGATACTGGTACAAGAAGCACTAATAGCTTTGTTAGTGATATGTATTTTTTTTTTTTTTTTTTTTTTTTGGAAAGGCAACCACTTGGCCTTCCTCAGTTGAGATGTGTGTTTTCAGATAGCCTGTGATTTATTTAATACAGGCATGTTCTGGGGATTATTTGAGCAGATGATTGCTGCTGCAGGTAACTCTTATTATGTAGTACTTTTGAAGAGAATGCAAATAATTAAATAAAGTGAAGGAAGATTTCAGTGTCCACTTCATAGATAGAGAGATGATTATGTGTTGGTGTCTTTGAAGAGAAAATGCAAAGCATATGCTAGCAACAGAGAGGGAACTACATGGGTCTGATGAAGCTTGGCTTCTATCTGAAGGAGATTCATGAAATAATCTAAGAGCAAGTGAAACTGGAAAGGCACAATAAACAAGAAATGCTGCTGGATTCAGGAAAGATGAATGCACAGTCCAATGGGTAAGAAGTATAAGTCGTTAATACATTTAACTCCTCTAACCAAACTGCGTGAGTTTCCTTCAATAACTGTTCCCTTACATGGGCCTTGGGCAGCACAGAGTAGGATAGTTCTAGCAATACAGAGAACTGCCAGCAGTTGCACTTTTTCCAGCAGAGTCCTTAATAAACATCCCAGTAACAAGAGCATTAAGTGCATCTTCATAGGGAAGAGAGCATATGGCTGGAAGTGGACCTAAACATCTGAGACTCTCAAAGAAAGCAAGCAGTAATGTTCCAGAAAGCATTTTGGCCTGTAGGTGGTTTCAGAGTGTGTTTGTGTAGCTCTGATATTAATACAGAAACAAAGCTGCTTTGAAAACAGCTGCTTTTCTGGCATGAGTAGATGCAAATTGCTGGGTAGTTTTCAATGTGAGAGTCAAGGATTTTTATATAGCTGCCCTGATTTTCTTCCTCCATTGAACACCTATCAAAGCAAATATTCCTGACACGTGATCTGTTTTTAGATTGGCGAATGGAGTAGCCTTGGGTGGAAGGTGTGAAGTATACCTGGACCTTCTTCTGAGAGCAGGCTTGGCACTTTGAAATAGTGTCAGTATCTCATCTGTGCTTTGCTGAGAGATTAAACTTCCCATAATCTTATTCAGTGCTCCTGGAGAGAATGAATTTGAAATAAATGACTGCCAACTTCTTCAGCCTGGAAGACTAAAGGACTCCTGTCAGGAGGAGCTGAGAGATCTGTTCTATTTCAGAAAGAGATGCTCAGTGGAAGTCATAGAATGACTTGGGTTGGAAGGGACTCAAGGATCATCACACTCCAAACCCCCTGTGGCTCCAGAGCTGCCAACCTCCCCATTTAATTCTAGATCAGACTGCCCAGGGCTCCATCCAACTCGTCCTTGAACACTTGAAGAGACGGGGCATCCACAACCTCTCTGGGCAGCCTGTTCCAGCACCTCTCCACTCTCATAGTAAAGACCTTCCCCCTGATATCCAACCTAAATCTTCCCTCCCTCAACTTAAAACCATTTCCCCTTGTCCTGCTGTTATCTGCCTCTTCAAAGAGTTGACTCCCCTTCTGTTTATGGGCTCCCTTTAGGTACTGAAATGCTGCAGTGAGGTTGCCCCACAGCCTTCTCTTCCCCAGGCTGAACAAGCCCAGCTCCCTCAGCCTGTCTTTGTAGGGGAGGTGCTCCAGCTCTCTGATCATCTTCGCAACCCTTCTCTGGACCTTCTCCAGCAGCTCCTGTCATTCTTGTACTGGGGGCCCTAGACCTGGGCACAGTGCTCCAGATGGGGCTTATGAGGGCAGAGTAGAGAGGGACAATCACCTCCCTGTCCATGCTGCCCCCCCCTCTTCTGATGTAGCCCAGGGTACCATTTGCTTTCCGAGCTGCAAGAACACTCTGAAGTTATGAAAGATAACAGGATACGAATATGTACAGAAGGAGACCACAGCAATTTGTGTGGTGAATAATTCCTGGTAAGCCGCTTCAGAGAGCAGGAGAGGATTATAAAAAAATAATAATAATAAAAAAAAATACCGCAATTTCACCCCACTACAAAACTGGTTAGAATACCATGTCTATGGATAGTTAAATGTTTGCTTTCTTTGCTTGCAGAAGACACATAAGTTGAAAGGATGTTTTTTTTCTACATATATTGACTTGGCAGATGTAGTTGATGCTCCCTGCAGAAATCCTCGTATCTGATTGTTGGCTTCAGTTTACCATGAGCATTGTTGATCTCCATGCAGAATTTTTGCATGTTAACTCCAGGAACACAAGGAGGTAAAGGTGGAAGATTTCAAGGGCTATAACATAAAAATCAGTGGATGTCTGTCTAACTGTCATGATACAGTGGTAAGCCATGCTTGCATCTGAGCAAAAGCAAGGAAGAACTTGTAGGGGAAAGAAAAATCTTGATGGGGAAAAAAGACAACAGGGGAGGAGTACTTCTTGGTGGGAGTACATGGGTGAAGTCTTACGTGGCCAAATCTGAAGTAATTTTGAGATCTGAATGGAGATAACAACAAGGTTTTCCTACAGGAGTCATGTTCATCTTCTGTAGGCACTGCACATTGGGTCAGAGTCTGTGCTCTACATGGAGGTCAGTGGGGAAGCAAGCCCTCTTCACAAAGGATGTCCGTGTGGAAACTCAAACAAGTGAATCATGATCTTTGTAAACCTTCTTCGACTATTTAAATGGACTAGGTAGTAATTACAGGCCATCATAAAATATATAGCCTTAACAAAACTTGTAGTTGATACGGAAATGTTGGATGTTAATTGGAGTCTAACCGTTTTATTACCAGGAATAAGTGAGATCATGTGATTATAAACTCTTCTGTAGGTACAAGAGAAGATCAAAATAGACTTGAAAGTGAAGGATAAATGTGGTGGAAAGAGAAAGAAAGAAGAGAATTTCCATGAGTAGCAATTCTCTAGTAATAGTTCAGCATAATTCTGCTGTAGTTATTAAATATTTTTTTGCTGTTTCACTGTAGTACGGGGAGTCAGAAAATACTACTAAATTGAATTCCAACACTTTATTGCAGTGCACAAAAAATCAAACATAAGCAAATAAATAAAGCACTAAATGATTGTTATTTGGGGATACAATTAAAAGACCCTTAAGGTTGCAATTTCTGATGTTCTAGTCAAATAAAATTGAGAAAACTCTTAGAAATGGGATGTGACCTATTTTATTTTTGCCTCCCAGAATACTATAATGTTTTCCCAGAGGTAGGTTTTGCTATATCCTTGCTGAACTTCACTTTTTAAAAACACTATCCTCGTACATCTGGCTTTATCTTTCTTGTAGCCTTTCTAATGCTCTTTTTTCTTCAGGCATTCACATTACTAAGAAAATAGACAAACTGGGCATGAGGTCATCGGACACAGCTCAGATCTTTTTTGAAGACGTAAGAGTCCCTAGCAAAAACCTAATTGGTGAGGAAGGAATGGGTTTTACGTATCAGATGTTGCAATTCCAAGAAGAGCGGCTGTGGGGAGTAGCCACTGGTAAGTCATCGGTTTTGCTGCAGGGGTCTGGCAGGGACACATGGGTCACCCTTACTGCATGACTAATAGCACTTTCCTTTTCTTGTAATTCATTACCTCTGTTCTTGAAATGTCACAGCGTAGCTACAGACAATCTTCCTTTTCTACAGGAAAACTTGAAACAGAAAGAAAATATTTTGTGAGGCAGAGGCTAGCAGAGGTTTTCTTTCTTTTCTCAGTGCATTCTGCTGATAAGAAAAAACAGCCACATCAATATAAATATAGTACAAAGGCTATCAAAATACCAACATGAAATAAGATTGTGACTTTTCCTGTAGTATGGTAAACTAGGATGTTTACCTTTACCCTAGATAGTAGAAAATGAATGTAGTGCTGTGTAAAGGCAGTATTACAACTTTGTTTATGCATGTTTTACCTCAATATACACTGAATGTAATGGTGTAAAACCAAATGCCTTTCCCCAAAGTTCTGCTATCACAGAATTTCTGTTATTCTAATTATTCTGTTATGCTATTGGCCATACACAAATCCATATGTTTGAGATTCAAAGATTTTTGGATATTTTAGATAACCAGATCCAAACCTGGACTGTCCTTTTTCAGCCTTCCCCCTTGTCCCATAGCATCTGCACATTTAACTTAACATAAATACTGTTTCATTTTAAAAAGACTGAAAATGTAAGAAGGTTGTATAAGTAACCTCTGTACCCCTGTGCATACATGTTAGTGCCTGTGTGTGGCTGAGGAATTGGCAACTGTACAAAATGATATTCTGATTCAGTGACCAAGTTAAAAAAAAAATGACTCCCTGTTGTGGACTGATCCCAGACCAGATATTTTGGAGCTCAGATGCTTAAAACATCTTTGGTTTGGGCAAAACCTCTTAGTTCAGCCTGAGATAAGTAGTAAATATGAGGGTAGTTCTAGCAAAGAGTGGGACGTCAGACCTGGGCGGGATGATGCTGCAGACTCTGGCAAGGAGATATGGTCCTGCACTGGCCCTGCTTTTGCACACTGTTCAGGACATTTACGGGATGGGATGAAGCTGTGTTCAAATCCATGCAAATAGGAACTCTTTATGCGTAATATTAAAAGCATAAGTTGGAGATTGCTGTAACAAGGACTTTGCTATAACTGAGGGCTCCAGGGTGTTTTGAAAGCAGTTAGGCTCTCTTCTACTTGGTTGTAAAAGGTGAATATTCCCTAGAGCCTGTAGTTGGTCTCATCTACAGAGGACCCCAAGCACCGGGCCGTCTGAGTGTATTCAGGCATTCTTTCTCACACACAGCCATTGTTTAAGCATTTCTCAATGTTGTTGTTGTTGCTTTTCCTCCCCGTGTTTAATCTGGGATGATTCCAAATCTTTGGGCATCACCTGCGAACAGCCACTGCAGGCACACAGATCAGCTCTCTGGCACTGCTGCAATGGCCACTGCAGGCCGGGCCATCTCAGGTCTGCACCACTGTGCTGAAGGCCTGGTGCCTGTGCCAAGGCCGCTTGCTCAGAACAGCTGTGGTTCTAGCTTGGATGCTGTATGCCCACGTGTGTGCTCAGATAGTGATCATGGAGATTTACAGGATTCCAGCTCGAAGGGGCTTCTGGAGGTCCCCTCATCTACAGGGCACTTCAAAGCCACATCAGTTTCTTTGGGGCCTTGAAGAGGCAAGTTTTGGTAGTCCCTAGTGAAAGAGTATTCCTGCTGAGGCAGAAATCTGACAGATCTGGTACATAGAGCGGTTTAAATCAGTTTTCTATCCTTGTAAGTAGGTGGTACCACAATAGCCTTGGACTAGAGTTGTGCTTATGCCTCATAGGTGACTATTCTTCATTTCTCACAGCTGCCCTCGAAGTACCTCAATTATCTGACTTCATGTTTCTTTGCTTATCACAGACATATGTTCTACAAAGTTTGGAATCTGAAGGGATCAGAAGGTCAGGCAAAATCAAGCCCTTTGGCAGGAGGCAGTTTTTCTGCGGATATATTTTTCTGTCTCATTTGTCTATAAGCATCATCCTAAAAAGAAATCTTTCACTATTTAATGACAGTGCTATTAAACAGCAGTTACTGCGCCACTTTAGGAGAACTTAGAACAGTTCTGCACCACTGAAATCTTGTCAAGATTTGTTTTGATTTATACAGTTCTGCACCTTGTGCTCTTACCTTTGAGGCTGGTAACTGCATTTCACCACTCCCCATTTGCATGCCTGGCCAGCGTAAGCACTGTCTCACCAAAGGAATAAGAAAGAGTTCTCCTCCAAGCAAAAAGAATATTGCCTGAAACATTGCCTTCTGAAATGTAGCCAAGATATACGTGGACTATATGGTCTTAATTATGCACTTTATGCTCAATTTGGATGCTAAGTTAGAACAATGAAAAGCTGCAGTGATATTCCTCAGGCAGCAGAGCGGCCAGCAGCCTTAGTCATGTTCCAGGCAGAGTGACGAGCAGTGACAGCATCAAAACACAAAGTCCAGCAGGTGAGATCATTCATGTCTGAAACCACCGGCAGCTTGGTACTGTCCAGCTTTGCACAACAGCCTGGAAGCCAGCACAGTCTTTCAGGAAGTGGGACGCCAGGTCTCAATTCTCCTTTTTTCCAGAATAATGATGAACAATCTGGGAAGGGAATCTTTGGTCCCTGCTGCGACCAAGAGAGATGGAGCTCCATTCCACAGTGTCTTTGCTAGGAGGGAACCAGGAATTACTGTGCCCTGGGTTGATTTTGCATTTATCCACTGACAATCTGATGTAAAATGGGTGAAGAGCTCTGGGAGTGAGGACAAAGCCCATCTCTTGTGTCATATTGCAAATTTCAGAGATAATCAGGTGTGATAGATGAGAGAAAAAGTGTTCATCAGAGCTGGTTGCCTGATGAATGTGGTTTGTTACACCACAACTTTACAGGCATTGCAAGCTTCCAGTCCTGCAAATAGTTTTACAACCACAAGCATTTTGCTGAAGGCTCCGATATTTCAGACTATGTGCATGCCTTCAGTAATTTTGTAATTAGGTCGGCACGTGTTCATTCTACCCCTCATTTCTGGCCCTCAGACGTTTCTTCTCATTCTCTATTCATGGCTATTCATATGACAACAAAAAGCATTGGTTGCTTTTAAGCACTTGAGGGACTGATCCTAGCATGCTTGCTTTGACTGCTCCCTAAAATTTGGCAGAGGCAGTTTGCTGAAATTCTTTTTGTTCTTTCTTTGTTGTTGTCACTTGGAGAGTTTTTCTTTTTATAAAATATTTTAGTATAAAATATAGCATGAAATATAATGTGCTTCAGTCGTCCATTTGCTTATTAGTTATCTTCCTCATGGCCAAATATTAGAATGTGTGTGGGGTGTTTCCTTCCTTCTCTTTTTTTTTTTAACCTTTTAAAATAAATTTTCAGGGAAACAAATTTAAAACATAAGTGGAAAATGAATTACCTTAAAGCGTTCTATTTTTATCAAGTTTTTCAAAAATGTTACTTTGCAAAACTGGGTCACAAGTGCGATCTTTTCTTCCAAGTGGCACATTGTCAGAGGTGTTGGTAAAAGTCACTGTGTTTCCTGCTTCATTGAGGAGGACAAGCTGCCACGTATCTCCCCCATGTTGTGACACTCAGCAAACACCGTAACTTTGAGGACCTGTCACACCGACCACAGGAAGAGAATGTCACTATGGTGAAAAAGCAAACAGTTTTCTTGTGAATTGCTTAACTTGGAGGCAAAGAGGGAGTTCAGTGAGTGTATGAGAGAGCAGAATGGCACTTCTCTAATGAATTCTCTATGCTCCTGTAGCCTCAGTTTTATGAGTATCATTGAGTCACGGCCAGTAAGCAGCATGACAGATCCTTTTGCATGGGCAACCAGCATCTGTAAGAGACAGATGTTGGGCTTGGAGCTTGCTCTACATCTCACCAGAGAGGGATCAGCAGCTGCCTGAGAAAAATGTATTCATTTTGTTCTGCATTGGATGGAGACGTAACAAATCAAAGTGTTTCTAACGACCAAAACTTTCAAGTAGGGTAACAGAAGTTGGATGGAAGTAGGAGGAAAAGATTGGCAGCTGCAGAACAAATGTGAGTGCTTTCACAGTGCTCTACTGCCTGCTAGACCACACAGTCCCTGTGCTGGCCCAGGGTGACGTTCCCTGCGTGTGCTGTCAGCCGAAAGCCTTGGGACCAAGTTTGCCTGAGGATGTAAAGAATACTGTATGACAAAAGAGAAAACAAATGCATGCAAACAGATGAAAGTTCAGAGAGAAAACTAGTTCCACTGTTAACAGTGGCATTTCTCTGTACTTACTGGTAAAATATTGTGAGCTGTTACGTTGTACAGAGTTGCTGTCAGTCTGATTATCCATTACACGCTGCATTGCTTTAGTGTTTGCTTCACAGCTGAGCTTTGCCATATACCTGTCCTGAGAAAATCTCCTCTCTTTAATTTGTTTGCAAATGGCAGTTTGGTTTACCTCCCAGCAGCTCAGGCTCAGCTGTATGCTGCCCAGCTTGGGGTAAGGAACAAGAGGTGCTAAGACACTTCTGTGGCGTCTGTGCAGCTGGAGAGCACAGAAGTACAAGCAAAAAAGCTGTTAGTGTCTTACATCCTACAGTATTGTTTTATCATCCTTTAGGAAAACAGGGGTGTTCCTTCCATATAAGAAATATACCTGAAAAGAGCAATTAGTTCCTCCAACAAATGTTAGAGCAGCAGCATAGAATTAGCATAGAAGAAACCAAGATATTTTTAAAAGTATGTTTTGGCAAAATAAGCATTCAGGCTAGTTTTTTTTTAGTAAGGAAGGGAAAATATTAAAGGAATAAGAAAAGCTAATCACCTTATGCAACATGGTGGGGACAGGATGCAAAAAGCAATGCTCTGTGGAGGAGCTGATGAATGATGGCGGTGAGGGGCTGATGGTGGGAGCCCAAGTCTGCATATAAGAACAGTGTAAGGATGTATATGAAAATGTGTGAGAGCAGTATAGGGATGAAATTTTAAATAGAAGTGTTCTTGAAATTCATGCAAAATGGAGTACTGAAGCACATCACGCTCCTGTGAGGAAGTTGCATGTAGAGCCATGGCAGGTGGGGAAAGGGATTTTATATTACTACAAGGCTTGTTAAATTTTGTATTGTATTTTGTATTCAGATTTTTGTGTTTCAAGTTCTAAATGAGGGTGAATGTAGACTGAGTATTTTCAAAAGAGAAAATGCAACGCTTCTTGTAACAATGTATTTTGAGCTCATTCTACCCTTACCCTCCCTACTGTCGGTCACAATTACATAGGCCCACATTTTCCAAACGAAATTCCCCACAAATTCGGCACCTGTTGTTATCCTAGCTAAGCTGCAAGAGACTGAGCCTATCCCTTCACTGACTGCTGGTTTGCTTTGTAAAATGCCTCTCTTCTCTTTTCTTGTTTACAACAGGGTTGCACTAAGGTAGCTAAAAAAAATTGCAGCAAACTAATTCTCTTACTTCAAAGTAGTGTCTCCCATTTCTGACCTGTCTTCAAGCATTGTCCTCTCTTGATTCTGTTTTCATTAGAAGCACAGTTCAGGATTCACTCAAAGTCGCTATGAAGATTCATACTTTTCCCTTCCATTCTTTGTTGAGATCAGATCACAGAATGCAATCGTATTCTGTTCATGTTCCATGATCTCTGAATATGTTTCTACCTACCCCCTGAAAGCTTTCTTGAATTTCCATTTCTACCATTGCTCAGTGTGCATGCTGCTTGCCTTCAGATTTTCTTTTGGGATTGTATCTGTCCTTCAGGATGCAGGTAGCATGGGAAGCAGGAGTTGCCACAAGGTTGTGATAAGAGCCTCAAATGACTTATGAAGGATAAGGATTATATATGTGTAATTGCACACTTTGCTCTCTGACTTTGCTGCACTCTTCACACCTCCTTTCACTCTCCTCTGAGTTTGGGGCTCAGGTGTAACAAGGATAAGGAATCTGTCATCAAGGTACAAAGGAATGCCAGCTTAAAGAATTGAAACTACACCCCAGACTGAGCATGTGGAGTGGTTTACTTTAGAAAAAATAACATCATAACGTTTGTGTTGAAAGAAAACTAATGTCTTTTTCAACAAGAAGAAAATGAAACTGGGTTGCATTAAGGGAATCATGAGCAGCAGGTTGAGGGAAGTGATTCTGCCCTACTACTCTGCTCATGTGAGACCTCCACCTGGAGTACTGCATCCAGTTCTGGGGCTCCCAACACAAGAAGAACATGGAGTTGTTGGAGAGGGTCCAGAGGAGGGCCACAAAGATGATCAGAGGGCTGGAGCACCTCTCCTACGAGGACAAACTGAGAGCTGGGGCTCATCAGCCTAGAGAAGAGAAGGCTCCAGGGGAACCTCATAGCTGCTTTCCAGAACCTGAAGGAGGCCTCCCTTAAGCTGGGGAGGGACTTTTTATAAAGGCATGTAGCAACAGAACAAGGGGAAATGGCTTTAAACTGGAAAAGGGTAGATATTAGGAAGAAAGTCTTTACTGTGAGGGTGTTGAGACACTGGAACAGGTTGCCCAGTTTGAGGGTGAGGATGCCCCCTCCCTGGAAGCGTTTAAGGCCAGGCTGGATGGGGCTTTGAGCAACCTGGTCTAGAGGGAGGTGTCCCTGCCTATAGCAGGGGGTTGGAACTAGATGATCTTAAAGGTCCCTTCCAATCCAAACCATTCTGTGATCTGAAGAAAGCAATGTCTTTTTCTGTGTTTCGATTCTTAAAGTCTTGACACCACTGGAAACGATAATACAAGAAACCATTGACTACACTCGCCAGCGGAAAGTGTTTGGCCAGTCCGTGCTGCAGAACCAGGTTGTACATTTCCGCCTGGCAGAGCTGGCAACTGAAGTGGAGCTGCTTCGCTCGTTGCTGTACCGTACCATTGGTGAGTTCCCATGTCTGCCTCCTCAGATGTGCTTTTTGCAATGCAAAGAACAGTGTCAGGCTGAAGGAATATGGGGAGATGGTTTCCAGACTGTGGTCAGTGACTATGTGTATGTAACTGTTCTTTTTTCCTTTTTAGCTCTCTACGTTGAAGGCAATGATGTGACCAAATTTGCTTCCATGGCTAAGCTAAAGGCAGGTCGCCTGGCCCGTGAAGTCACTGACAGCTGTCTCCAGTTTTGGGGAGGAATGGGATTCACCAGTGAGGTTCTAGTGAGCAGATTTTACAGGTAAGCAAGTGAATGGTGAAACCAGGATGTTTCTTTACTCAAATTTGTCCTCTTAAATATTCTGCTAAAAGATCACTCAATCAAAGGGCCAGCAGCCCCTGCCTTACGTGAATAGCATTGTTCCACATAACAGCATGTCACTGATATTAGGGCTCAGACTGCAATTGTTGACCACACTGTGCAAGTGCTGATTGTTCTTTTGCCAAATTTTGGCCATATTATAACAATGTGGTTTGAACTACCCACAGGTTAGCTTGAATTCCAGGTAAAGGAAATGAAGTCTGTGTTTTCCCTAGTGAATCTCTGGCCCTGCCAGGCAATTGGACTAGAAGAAAAAGGCAAAGCGTATGAATGAGATTTTTTTTTTCTTTTGCTCTTTTCTTGTAATCTTGATTACAGGAAGAGAGCTAAAATAAAATAGCAGTATTTTTCCTAACTGTGAGGGACCACTGAAAATCAGTTTCATTTTTTTCTTCACACCTCCACACCGAATATGTGTTTGAAAGTGGAGTTCAGCATTGGGCTCCTGCAGTAAGCTTCACTGCAGGAAGAGATGCCACTGGCACTGCCTACAGGCCTTTAGTAGTCATTCCTGATAGCAGTCTTCATGTAATTAGTCACATCAGGTACCGTATGAGACATTTGAGAGCTGTGACTGCTTCCAGCAAGTCATTAGATCATTAAAATAGCCTTTTTGCAAAGGCCCATGCTTGGCCTTTGAAATTTTGCAGTGTATCTACCTCTACAGCAAAATTCTCTCAAAGCAAACTTTTTTTCTGGCTGCAGTTAGCAAAATTCTGTCCCCATCTGATATTGTGCCAGGGGACCAAGATGGAACTTAATTTTTCTTCCAAAAGTAGATTTCAATTCAGCCCTTGTAACACAATACCTCATTAATGGTTGACAGAGTAGTTGTTCTGTTGGTAAATGCTATGTTTGTGTAAAGTGAGAAAAGATCACGTTAAATAAACCTGTAAAAAGCTTATTTCTTTATAACAGATTGTTTTTTTAATATGTGTATATATATATATATTTTTTTATTATTTTTTTTTTGAGTAATGAGGGCTATTTGAACTAAGTAGAAGAGCACTTTAAAGAGTGATGTACACTTATCAGTGACTTCATGTTGAGTCTCTTCTGTTGAAACCAGTACAAAAGGGAGAAGAGGCTTACCTTCTGCTGTTTAACTCCTGTCCTTGGTTGAGGAGATAGAGGTGGGAGAGTACTGTACCAGACACCCAAGTCATGCTTTGATGCCTAACACATACAACATAGGTAATAGGGTCTAACAGTGTAGGTAATACAGACACTTTCTCTTCCAGCAAATGGAGCAGCTAAGCTCTCTGTTCTTGAGCATGTCTTTCTGCAGTGACCACCCTGCCATCAATGGCAGAGTAGCAGAACACAGGGTTCCTCAGAAGTAGGAGTTACTCTTTCTGCCTTTAAGAGCATTTTATGAACATGGAATGCCTTTGTGGTAAATCAGAGACTTTTTCAACTCATGGATTCCTGAAAGGTACAGTCTGCTGTATGGTGGTGGTTTCAGCCAGTAGTCAGTAGGAGGTTCGTTCTTATTTACCTTTGTCATCACCTCTTTATTAGTAGCGAATGGTCCCCAGTGAAGCAGATGCTGAAAGCTACTGTGGTAGGCATTTTGAATAAAATGAATACTTGTCTCAAAGCACTTGCTACCAATGTAGTCCTGTATAGACACTAAGTCATGTACATTTGTATGGCTTTGACTTGTCTTTACATTTCCTACTCCAGGCAGGTTTTTCCATGTGAATTCCAGAATGATTTCTAAGCACTTCAGTACAGTCACATTTTCCCTGAGAAGAAATCCAGAGTATTTCCTATTAGTATCAACTGTGTCTGCTGGCTAAAGAAATGTATCTTTCTGCTTCTAAAAAAAAAAACAAAAACCACTTATAAATAAGGCCAAAAGTAACGTGATACTTAAGCCCTAAAATTTTCTGTGAATCAGTAAAATTCCCTCATTGAGTAACCATAAGCACCAGGGAGAAGTAGAGTATTACCTAAATAAACAATTACAGGTTCAAGTTAGAATCCTGTTAATCTGTAACAATAAGCAAAGCAGCAACTTTCCTAAAGCCGTTGTGTTTTTTGTACAGCAGTCTGAGTAACCATTCACGTCACTGTGATATTTGTAAAGTAGCACGCAGGGCTTACAATAACTGCACAGCATGACAGCCTGTCATAATGTACAAGGATTTTTGCTGCACAATACTAACTGAAGTTCCAAGGAAATGTTAGTCTCTAACACGTCAGGCTATTAATCCTCAAATAGTGCACAGCATAATGCATGGTTACTGCATTAAGTCTTTGAATTTTGGTCATTGGTGTTACTGGGGAGATACTAAACAGACCCAGCACAGCAGCCTGCCAGAAGGCTTTATTCACAGCTGTCAGTTTTAGTAGTTAATAGTTTGCAGATCAAGTGTCTGTTCTAAAGTATTGTATTCTCTAAAAGGTGTAGCTGAAGGTACCTGTTTAACCACGTAGAAGCCTACACTGGGCTGATTTAATATACTTAAATGTTTCATTTTCAGTTGTAGGGATTCCGAGAAGGAGAATGAGTTGGAAAAAAATGGAACTGAGCCTAAAGACCAAAGAATTTAATAGAAACACATAAATAAGAAAATAAAGAGTGGAGTTTTTAGGCTTCAGCTTACTAGTATGATTCTGGAGAAGAGAGACAGACTGGAGTTGTGTCTGTCTGCTTTTCTCTCTCTGACATCAAATGCCTCAAAGATACCATGACTTAGGAAAAATCAGTTATTGAACAAAGCTCCTGTCTATATGAAAGCCCCAGGCTGAAACAGACCAGAGAGAGGGAAAAATTCAGAAGAAAGTCTGTTGCAATTTTTCAGATTTCACAACTTCTTATTAAAAAAAATTCAGTCAGTGAATATTTCAGTAGTAACTGAATCATAGAATTGATAGAATGATAGAATGACCTGAGTTGAAAGGGACCTTTAATGATCATCAAGTTTCCACCCCCCTGCTACGTGCAGGATTGCCAACCACCAGATCAGGCTGCCCAGAGCCACATCCAGCTTGGCCTTGAATGCCTCCAGAGATGGGGCATCCACAACTTCCTTGGGCAACCTGTTCCAGTGCATCAACACCCAGTGTAATTTCAAACACTTCTGTTGAGGTAGGAAGAACTTGTTGACTGGAGCTCTTTAAAAAGTGGGTTTGTTGTTTTGTTTGTTTTCCCCAACCATAATGATTCTGTGATTCTATTATGATTTTAAAGTATTAAACAATGTCTGTAGCAGCTGTCAGTTCTTACAGGTTTTACTCTTGTGGGGGTGTGATGGGGAGAATACTGATTTTTTTCCTTGGTACACTGTGAAAGATTCGAGAAAGCAATACTAAAAATTCTTGATGGATTGTTCAAGTGGAATAGATAAAGCGTATATAGCTGCAGAAGAAAAGATTTCTTTTTCCATCTGCCATCTAGGTGTTGCAAGTCTTATTTGTAATTAAGCATGGCTAAAAAGCTAACTGTAGAGTATCTCTGAATAAGGAATGAATGCATTTCCTTCTAAATTATTTTTATATTTGTATCTTTCCCAAATTAAAAAAACAAACATTTGCAATATGTTAATTAGTTTCATTCATTATTTCATTTTTTTATATTTTTTCATTCTTTACAAAATATGTCTCAACTAGAATGAGCCCAGTTCATTGGTTTATTCTTTAGTCAGTCTGTGTAATTATCACAGTCTGTTTGTGTGAAACAAAACAAAGCCTATCCATGTCTACTGACAAAAAAATCTACTTTGCAGTCAGCTGCTAACTGTTGGGGCAAGAATAACTACTGCTCAGTGATCTGTGAAAACAAATATGTGTTTTCAACTTTTTTCTACACAGCTCTTGTAAGAGTCTGAAGATGGCAGAGATCACACAATATTAAACTTGAGAATACATCTGTAAATTTTGTGGAGAAAAATCTTGCCAGTAGTGCAATTTTAACATAATAATGGTGAGGGGAAACAAAAAGCTGTTAACCCTTTGAATCAAATGCAATTTGTGCTGGCAGGAAGCACCATTAAAATAGCCTTCTTGGAATCACCGATGCTCTGAATCACATAGATCTTAAGGATTTGGCAAGCTGCAGTACCAGTGCTTTCCTAGCAAAGGCAGGGAGCAGCATCCCTGAGTGAATCACTGCTATGAAGTCAGGCTGACAGGGAGACAGAACCTAAGTAACCAAAACCCCTGCTCTCAAGAGCGCTCACTTTTTCATGTCAGAATGGCACTGATAACTCCTACAGCTTCAACTGGAAAAGGGAAAGAAAAAGACTTATTTTCTCAGAGCTTCAAGTTATGTGAAGACATCTGCACTGAAGACCCTGCAGGTTTGTTCAGGAGTTTTGAACAGTAAGAACTTTCTAGATCCTACTGTTATATGGCTTTCAAGAGGAAAATGTAATTCAGAGTGGCCCCCTCAGTGAGCAGAGCCTCTTGGCTGCAGGCAGTAAATGGTGGTAGGATGCACAACTACAACACACTCTACAGTTTTATTGGCTTGGTGCTAGAAATAGATTTTGTGTGCGGTAGTAGTTGCAGCCTTAATGCCTGTGAAGCATGTTACAAGTACAAAAGCTGCACTTGTGCTCGCTGTGAGATCAATTGGTACCTGTCCTTCATTTTCCCAGCCTGAAAAACAGCCCTGGTGTTGAGCACAGCTTGGTTTGTGCAACACCAGCCAAAAATGAAAATTAACTGCACCGAGACTTCACTACTTAGTAACACATTCAGGCTGTAAATTAGAGGGTCCCTCACATTTCTGCAGGAGGTTCTATCTTAGCTAACAATGAAAACAGAAAACTTCATTTGGTGATGTGGAGGGTCCTTTCTGTCCTGTTTGCCTACTACTAGAAAGTATTGGTAATGTGGATTGAGGTTGGTAGGTGGGAAGGGCTCCTCACCCTCCCTCATAAGTTTAAGTCAGCATTGAAGAATTGGTTACTTTTTTCATCCATCAAAAAATGGATTTTTTTTTTCAGGTGTGTGGGATGCCTTGATATAAGAGGAAACTCCTTGTGGGGAGCATTGCAGTTTGGGTTTGTTTGGGTTTTTTTTTGAGTTGAGAGGCAGTGAATGCAATGATTACCTTTTCCCCAGGCAAATTGCTTTGGCCTTCTGATCCTTCCAGTCTCCAAGGAAAACAGCATATCTCAAAATTACACCTCTTGTACCTGTTGAGTGCATTTGGGGCTGGTTCTTTACCGTCCCTGATAAGAGTGATGCCACTGCTTATCAATGCTCATCTCCCCAGAGTTCCAGATAGTTGAGGGGCTGCAGTTCTGCACTGGAGGCAACAGTATGGTAATAGCTGGTGCAAGAAAGCAAGGTGCTGCTGTTCCACAACAGAAGCATTCCAGGAGAAGCCTGCCTAACACCACAGCATTCTAATATTTATATATATATTAAAATATTTATATGCTGTGTTAGTGTATTACTGATATTAACAATCAAACTATTTACTTATAATAGCTTATATGCAAGTTTACTATATAACCTTCCTCAGCATTCTCACCGTGTTCCTGGGAGGATAGTTAGTCTCATGGTTTTGTTTTCTTATATTGAAAGCAAGTCTTATTTTTAGAAGGAGGGTTGGTAGATTAACAGCATTTGAATCCTTTGTCATCATGGTCCTTTTAAACTAGGTAAAATCTTCTGTCCTGTCTCACAGGAGAGAGATCAACATTAGTTGCTTGCCTGCAGTTTCTGGAGGAAATATTCCTCAAAACAGAGACAAAAATATAATCACCAGCAATTCTGAAGGACAGACTGACAGACACACACACACTCATGTGAAATGCTCCTCTTTTTAAAAGGCATTTGTATAATGGCTTTCTAATAATTTGAAATATCTGTCACACAACGCCAAAGCAAGATCTCACAACTGCCTATTTATAACTTCATATAAACAAGCCACAAGTCTGAGATTTCTGCTGCAAATGGAAGATTTTTATCTGCACTAGAGTACTTTTGTGGATTACTTACAACATTGCTGTGAAAATGCTAAGCACTGTCAGAGGCTTTCTGGCTTGAAAAAGCAGCACAAAGAACAAGTAACCTACCGTTGTTCCAATTCCGTTGCCTTCAACAAAACTTGTATGAAGGTGGGAAATTTTTGTGCTACTGAATTAAGTCAAGGCAGTTTAGCAGAACTATTTTTCGTTTGTTTTTTCCTCCTCCCCAAAGAGGAACAGAAACTTGCTCAGAAAATTGCTTGAAGTGCAGTAGTTTGCATTCTAGCTAACCAAGGGAATTGAAGCAATACTGTGAAGGATGATTTAGTAATATAAATGGTGGGTTTTAAATAAGTCCAGTTAGAAAGATCATATCAAAAGTAAATAAGCTTGGAGCAGCTGTTCATTTTTAAATCAGAGACGCTAATGCATATTTAAACTACAGTTGTGCTAGATACCATATAGCCATTAGGGAGACCAGGGTGCTTTTTTTGGTTGAAGAACATACTGTATTAAAAAAAGTACCTTCTCCATACAGTTCTGCAATACCTATGTATTGATTGACTAATACTTCTTTTACCAGAGACAAGCAAAGTTAAATGCTTCAACATGTTTTGCTGTTGCCTCCTAAAATCTTCCTCATCTCCTACAGTTCATAGAATCATAGAATTGCACAGATTGGAAAAGACCTTAAAGATCATCAAGTTGAACCACAACCTAACCATACCACTCAAACTCTAACAGCCCACTGCTAAATCATGTTCCTGAGCACCACATCCAAACTGTTTTTAAACTCATCCAGGCGTGGTAACTCAACCACCTCCCTGAGGAGCCTGTTCCAGTGCTTAACAACCCTTTCTGTGAAGAAGTTTTTCCTGATAATTGTTGAATGATAGTCATCTACAGCTTTGGCAGAGGAGCAGTGGCAACACTGCAGGACCTATCACAGATTGACTCACAAGGAGGAGTCAGTGGATGAGGCATTCTGCAAACAGCTGGCAGAAATTCAGTGCACAGATAACTAGGAAGAACCAGTTGATAATTTTACATGGCAGGCTAGGGATAGGACCATCCTGCAATCTCCACAGAAGCTGCAGGAGCTCTGGCCAGGCTTACATGGGCAGTTGTATACTAGGAGAAATTGTAGCTTACTTCAAGAATAAAATATAGTGGTCTGCCAAGTTTTACTTTGGAAAGAATGTAAGTACTGGTCATGCTAAATTATATCTCCTCACGTTGAACTATCAACACCCTTGTCAACAGAAGGGTATTTATGGTACTGACACACAGTTGTCCGCATCATGCACACACTAATAAACAAGGGATTCAAATGTAACAAAGGCAGCTCCATAATGAATGCATAGAGGAATAAATGAGCACGTGCAATTGTTCTACCAGTACAGTATGCAAATATTTATATCTGCTCTTTGTATTTCTACAGGGATTTGAGACTGCTGTCAATAGGTGGTGGTACAGATGAAACCATGCTTTCTATTATATGCAAATATATGGAAACACTTCCAAGGAAATAACACAGCTGCACTCTTCCTCAGAAACTTAAGAAAGCAAGATCATGGTTATTACTGCATCCTGATGGCAACAGGCAATGTGATCCAAATGTGTAAGAAATAGGAATGGTATTTATAAAATAACAGTAAATTTTGCAGGAAAATACTTGTCAGAGTGTTTTTGACCAATATCATGATGCACGTTCACCAGTATCAAATTAATGTTAATGCCTGCAAGATTTTTTTCCATTTTTAGTGATTTACAGCTTTGAGGGCTCTGGTGATCCATGCTAAAGAAATCTCATCTTCTTCAATCAAGGTACAGCAGTATCTTAGATCATCTATGCAACCAAATAAGAAACGCAACTTTCACATGGGTCCAGGATAATTTCAGTAGTAGAACAATCTAATTTCACTTAACTTTGCTTTCAAGTCACAAATTATTTTTTCCTTATCCACTTGATATTCATGCACCGGAACAGTGGTTTTGTTCTCAGTTCCCAGTGTCATCCATCTCTCTCACTTTTAGCAAGTAAACATCAAAATTAGTACGTTCAGCAAAACCAAGTCAAAAATCACAAGCCCCCCAATCCAGTCACCATTACCTTCTCACTCTTGTGCTGCACGCTGACACAGATGTTTGGTGGTAGGACTGGAGGCAGATTTTTATTTTAGAATACTGCAAACAATAGCTTAATTGTACTTGAAACTTTTGGAGGCCTGAATTTCAGTAGTAAGGTTTCACATTTTATGTGTAATTATGAATGAAAAACATACAAGCGTTTAACATGAAAATTGTAATCAGTTAAATGAGACTGTAAAATGTGCATGTCACGGTCGAGTTGAAGCAGAAGTGTAATAAATATTACACTATTAAAATAAATAAAACTAAATATTTTCAATATTTTGTGATCTGTTCAACAAAGTCTCACTAAACTACAATAAGCATCACTTCTCCATTTGTACTTCTTAAAATCTCATTCTTTACACTTCACTACTTATCAGCCATACCTTCAGAAATATTGGCAACTCTCCTTATAAGGCAGAAGAGACAGCATGTCTTATTGAAAAACAAAAAAGTTTCATTGGAATTCTCCTTGTAACCACATGGATCTTTTAAGGAATGACAAATGGATGCTGTAGCATCCAGAAATTTTGCTATTTGGGAGTTCTAAAGACTTTCAGAGAAATACTCTCGTACCTAACAATTAAATTCCAAAGGAAAACTCTAGAGGCTGCAGTGCACAGTTCTGCCCCATTGCCATTCCCCTTCCTTTCATGAAATATTCTCAAAGCAGGATTTGTGATCAGATTCTAAACTGAAAAGTGCCTTTAACTGGAAGAGATGAGGAAAGTGCCACATCCTGTATTTGCTCCAAAAGTAAAGTAATGTAAAAATACAGAGAATGTCAGTCTTTAAAATGAAAACAAACAAACAAACAAACAAACAAACAAAGGAAGACAAGCTCTTTCTTTTTTTTCCCCTCCTATCCCTTCTCCCTCAATCTCACATATCACTGAAGAAAAGAAGAAAGGAAAGGAGGGAGAGGGATCCTAATCTGTACAATTTACCTTTAATCTGGTCTGACTTTTAAAACAAAGTTCCTCTTGGTTTTACACATGAACTGAAGGACAAGTAAAAGGTTTTTTACCCATATACTCTGGCAAGGGAAAGCACAGCATATTGTTCAGAACAAATATGGGAAATGTCTCAGCTGTGTAACTAGTTGCACCTACCTATTTTCTACTCTGTATTACGTAGATAAATGCTACTTCCATTTATTGGTAAGACAGATTGGTTAGTAAAAAAGAAATACATAGAAATTGCTGAGACACCATGTGAGACAAAGATTAAATGTTTTCTAAACGATGACCAAATATAAAGGGAGCATGGATGTCAAGGTTATGTCAATAATTATTACCCTGAATGCTAGGCACCCTTACATTCTCTCAGTTGGGATGGCAAACTACAGCCTATTGACTTTCTCTGAGAATACTGTGTTTGTTTAGCAAGCCTAGCAATTCTCATATAAATATTAACGTCAGGATAATAAATCTTATTTATATGTTCTGTTATTTGCAGACCTTTTACCAGTCCAGAATTAAATGGGCTAGAAACAATTGCATTTCAGTTACTTTTATAAAAGACATTCTACAGAATGTGTGATTTAGATATAATATTTCTGTTATATATGAAAGTGAACATGAAAAAATGTATTATACAGCTCCATGCATCTCAACAGACTCACCATCACACAAGTCTAGTTGTTAAAGTGCAGCACCATTTCAAAAAAACAATGGTATTCTACAGCAGGAAAGTATGCATACGAACAACAGGAATACTCCAGGACATTTTATTTGTTAGCTCATAATTAAACTTATTAATGGCAGTATGCTATACAGTATTTCTAGAAAAAAATATTTTTAAAAATGTAGATAGAATTTCAAGATCTAGAAAACAATATTTTTCTGAATGTTGAACCCAGTGATGTGATACTTTCAACTAGTAGAAACTACTTTGTGAGTTAAAGCTAAGAGTTAGAAGTAAAAACCTTAATATGCTACCACCTCCGACAGGTGCTTCATAATATTTACATATATCAATATAAAATTTAAAATATTCAACCTCATATTCAAACATCATGCAGAACAGATTCAGGGTTCATCAAAGAATAAAACATAAATGAGCTAATGGTACAAGTTCCAGTGATTCCATGGAATCATTAAGTTTTGAATACTTTAAATGTAAAGGAAACATTTACACTGTGTCCAAATTTGTTGAACCAAATGATCAAAGGCATTTGCTTAACAGAACAGACACGCAAGCATCATTTGTCACATTTAAAAGGAAGATCCAGTTTTAAGTAACTTCTCCCCCAAACAAAATGCTTAAGCTACATACTTAAACATGCAGACTCTAAGACCTGTCAATGTAGGCATCACAAAAATCACTTTTGGGGGGCACCATCATTACATTTATTACCCTCAAGCCAACCTTTCAAAAATCTACAGATAAAAACCAATTTTGAAAGACCCAAGTATTGGTCATGCTTCTGAAACCAAGAAGTTCTGAAACCTAGGGAGCTCTAATTTAGAGCACGGCTCAGATCGAAAAGCAAAATGAAAGCGAAGGTCTCGTAATTCTGCAATTATTTCATAACTGAACAACCTTTGGTTTTGGGGGAGTTCTTTGATTCCTCTTGTGGGTATTTTTTTTAACCAGTTCTGTAAACTCTTTTATTCTAAAAAAAGCAACTTAAGAGCGCCAGCAGTTTTTGCATATTTATAAATAATCCCCCCAAAACAGGGGACAGTGGGAGAAATTTCAATACATCAAGAAAACTGTATATAACACTGCATTAAATACTAATGCAATTTATAATACTTTCATTGTGTTTTATCAACAGAATATGGCAGTTTAAATCAATGTCATCATTAATTAAGACTGATGGTTGAAATCACAGTTTAAACTTAAGACAACATGCATCACCTCAGTTTAATAACCCAGTATGTTACAAAAAAAACAAATAATGCAAAGAGCATCATGTAGCATAATAGTTTTGTCTGGCTCCCTCTGGACAGCCTTCTCAGTCTGCCCATAGTCGCACCTAGAAGTCCAGTTGCAGAGTCAAAATCATTATCCTATGTTTCAATGAAACAAAACAGGAGAGAAAAGAGGGGAAAACAAACAAAAACATTACATATATAGTCAGCAGTAAGCTGTCAACATATTTATACAAACATTCAAACTACACAAAAGAATGCTCTACATTACTAATTTCATCATCCTGCCCCATATATAAAGAAACTTAGTGAAAAAGCACTTACCATTTCTGATAACAATTTGTTTTGATTTTTAACTTCTGTTCCAATTTCAATAGAAAGCTATTGAAAAAAAAAAAAAAAAGAGGTTTAAATATGAGTGATCAGTTATACATAAATTAGAAAAGTTGCTCTAAAATACGTGATATCACTAGTGCTTTCTTGGGTAAAATGTGAAAGAAATATCCGGCATCTTTGAAAAACAGAAACTTAAGTTATAAAAACAAGTGCAGCATTCTGTCAGCAATCCTCAGGGAAGGAAATAAATACTTATTTCAAAAATTAAAGATCCAGTCAAGTCTGAGTAGCAACTACTCATTTCCTTGAACTGTTAGAACTCCTGACTGTGAGGACAAGGACACACCCTTTTGACAGTGACAGGAGCTGATACCTGTAACTTGCAAACACAATGCCTTTTTTAAATCAACTGATACAATCAACACAGTTTTCTTCTGTGAGCTTGTCTATTCCTTCCCTTGTTTGTGTCATGGAGCAGCAACGGCATAGTAGGACAAGAGGCAGCCAGTCAGTCAGTCCAGAGACTGTAGCCAGAGTCATCAATAATTTGGTGATCACCCAGCAAGTTGATCTTGGACTTGTGTCATTGGTATCAAGCAAAAAGTCAACTCTGCAGGTCAGGATCAGGGAGATAAGAAATAAGGAGGATACAGAGATGCAGCAATTGCTGCAATCCATCACTGCAGCAAGACAGGCGCCAGCCAGGAGATGTTCACTTACAGCAGCCACCCTGTGAAGCAAGGACGAGGCCTCCCCAGTCCCAGTGCTTTCCATTAGCCACAACCTCTACATTTTTGTGGCACAACCTCAACCCCGTGACTTCTTAGTGCTGCTGCTTTTCACCGCTATCTATAAGCAAGTCACAAGTCCACCTACTTTAATTAAATTTAGCTATAATTAAATACTTACTGATTTTATTGCACTGACTTTATTGCGCAGACTTTCTGTTAACCTTTCATTTTCTTCTTCATATACACTGTACCCACTGTTAGTATAGCCATAGTTACCAGTTGGTGCTCCGTCACCTGTAAGCAAAAAAGCCAGTAGTTACAGATAGAAAATATAATTGGAGTAAGCGTTCTTCACTCACAGGAAAACATTCTGCATTTAAAAATGCATTTCCTTAACAGAAATCAGGCAACTGGGAAGAGGTGTTGCGTGCTCCCAAGGCATAGATTCAACCTTTTTCAAGCACTGAAGTAATCTTTCCAATATGCAAATCAAAGTAGGTAAAGATTGATGAATGACGGCAATTTAATGCTATATTTTTCCTGAGAGGGTGCTTTCAGATGGTTTTTATGGAAATCAATCTAAATATTGCATGGAGATGTGAAAGCAGCATTGAGGTTGCTACACAGAGCAGTAAGCCTGATTCAAAATAAGAAACAAAGCAAAAACAAGTAACATTTGGTTACACCTGCCTTTGGAGGAGAGAACATACTCATCCTTACAGGTGTCTCTGCAAACAAGACCTCAGACCAGAGGCCAAGTCTGTAAGCAGAAGAGCACACTGCTCTTCCTGTCAGCATCCTGCACTCTACTCTCCTGCCTTTGCCTTTTTGGTGATGGGCTGCAGGACTGCTTTCCAGAGAACTGATCCTGCAAAGAGAGTAAGCAGAGCAGAAGGGAACTGGAGTTGGTTTCCTCAGTTCCACATACACACTGCCCCCAGCCCCTACTGAGGATCCCCCACTGACAGCAACTGGGCAAGCAGCACTGGGGCAGGAGAAAGAAGGCTGAGTACAGCCTAGACAGAAATCAGCCTAAGACCCCAAATGTAAGATTTGAAACCAAAGAAGTGAGTCCAAAACAAGAAAAGCAAACAGAAAAGATCCTAATAGATTCATCCTACTAACAATCCAGTTGTAACACTAATGAGTATTTACATGGCAAGTTGGAATGCCACACTAGTGTCTCAGTGCCACTTCCACACGCTTTACAAAGTGCTGTGTTTGGGTATTTTTGAGGAAAAAGACACAATGACATTCATAGATAAATCTGTATCTCAGTTTTGCTGTGTGCT